TGTTGTCTAAAAAATTGTTTAAGCGAAATATTTAATAATTTTGCCAATAGTTTAAAAATGAATTTCGATTTTTTCAATCTTATATTTATGTACATATGTACATATGTATATTGCCAAAATTATCAACTGCAATAGCACGATCTCCAGCCAAATTAGTATTATGTAGAGTAGTAGATTAAATTAAAATCTGTGAAATTTGGAATGTAATAGATCTTTTACTCAACCTGTTATAATTAAAATTTTTATTTTGTTTATTTTTACTTCTTTTAAGTATTAAAAAAATAACAGATCTGGCATCACTGCTTATTGCTATTCTCTTTTTTACTTTTACAGGATATTGTGCACTTGTTCCACGATTTCATTTTGGAAGTAAAATCATTAGTGGTATTCACATGATGTGATAATTTAGGTAAAATATTTCAAAACAAAAAATATTTATTAAATAATTAATTAGTGGAATAAAATATATATTGTACATAACTATATAGATATAATATATAAGATGATCCATTTCGAGGTTCCATACTTTTTAAAGAAAAAAACACAGAAACTCAAATTTAATGGAGATTTTATCTCTTTCAAATGTTGGTCGCGGGTACGGCTCAGATGGTTCTTCTGTTGAGTCCAATTTTCAATGTATTGTTCGATCATTCCGACCGCACAGACTTTATCCTTAAGATATACCCACGGAAAAAGTCCAACGGTGTGCTATCCACGTTCTTGGTCGCCAATCGACCACTTTTTGATAGGATGTGTGGAAAGTGGCGCTGTCTTGTTGAAACCAAATGTCGCCGATATCACGAGCTTCAACTTCAGGCATCAAATATTCAATTATCATTACACGATTACGGTCGCCATTAATGATTACGTTCTTATTGCCATTAAAGAAATTTGAATTCCACCGGCCCACATATCACCCCAAACCGTTGTTTTTTCTGGATGAAAGACTTCAACAACTCTTCAAGTTGCTCTTCGTCCCAAATGCGACGATTTTGCTTGTTTATATACCAATTGAGCTAGAACGGCCTCATCGAAGAGCAAAACTTGGCTCGAAAACGTTGGGTCTTCTTGGAACTTTTCAAATGTTTGGGAAGATGCGCTAAGCCGTTCCATACTGTGAACGGCGCCAAATTAACTCTACACGGTTCGTGCATGCTCTTAGCTACGGCTGCTATATTTTTTTAATACGACTGACGCGTGATCTGGCTTGTGAAAAAAGTACCTCAACCTACATCACTCGTTAATATAATAATAAATAATGTAATATTATTTTTTGTATATTAAAAGTATTCTAATTTGTCATACCAGATATTTCGATGTTTAAAACAAAAAACGAAGAAGTTTTGTATTAAAATATATATCGTCAACTAATTGTTCTCAGAAATTTTTTAAATATATACATATATTTTTTTATTTTTACTATACTAAATAAGTATTTTATTTATCATACAAATATAAATATTTATAACTTTATTTGCTTTAATTATCTTTAATTTCATGCACTTTGTCTCTTTTCTAAGTATAACTTGAGGTCGCAAGTGTTCTTTTAGTGAATACCATAACTTACTGTTTGACATTGCAAATACAACTCTATGCTTTTTTCCAGTTTCCAGTTTCCGCTTTTGCTATTTCAATTCTCGAGCAGAAGTGTTCGTCGCGATCGTAAAAAAATGAGAATTATGATTTTTACATAAAAAGAAGTGTTTTGAGATAAATACTGATGCAGCAAATATTTCTAGTCAAATGCCAAGAAGTTGAGTAGTGTAGGTGAGTCTCTGCGCAGACAGATATGTACATATATATAACTTTCTTCAAGTGTTTCAATGTGAAAAATATTAAATGCCTAAAGTGAAAATTGGTAATTTGTTATTTGGATTGCAGCACATATTCCGAAAAAGGTAAGTTTTCTTTGAAACAGAAAATATTTCCTTTAGCAAGTCTCTAGAAACAAAATCAAAGCGAAGCAAACAGCAAAAGCTAAAAGCGAGTATTAATAATAAGTGATGCCAGATTGAAAGAAAATTGAATACGTTCAAAAAATATTATAAATATTATTTATGCGAAAACTAAATTAAGCATTTTTTGTATTTTATACCTTATACTCCCTTTAGAAATTTCTAAAGTAAAAATAGTTCAATAAAAATGGTTATCAAAAATCTATTACATTTTAATTTTTTTGTAACAATTCCCCCCCCCCATGTGATCTATTACTATTATGATCGAAAACGTGATATTATACAAATAATAATCATAAAATGTTTTCAAAAACCAATCGTATTTTAAGAAATATTAGGAATATGAACAACAACTTTATGTAGTATTAAACATTTCTAAATCCCTTCAATGTTTTAAAAACGTATTGAGTATATAAATATTGAGTATAGAAATCACATCAAAAACGTTTCCCTTAGGCACAACACACATTTGATCTACATATTTTGAACTCCCCAAACAATTTTTTACCTAAACAACTATTTTAAAAATATTTAAAACGTTTCTCAATCTATTACGCAAATCTAGTACAAAGAATAAAGCATACATATTTTTCATCTCACTGGCAACACGGTTTTCGTACTTGCTTTATTCAGTTTCCGCTGCCATTTCAAAAGTCGTGCATTAGTTTCCGATACTCGTGTGAGAAATACAGTAAAATTGTAATTTTGCTTTGAAAATTAAAAAAATATAATAAGTTTAATGCAATTACTAATATTTAGTGATATTTTAGTTCAAAATGAGGCTAGTGTTTGTATAGTGAGTGTGTTCTTTTCATAGAGAAGTTCACTTATAGCTCGGTGCTTTGGTTTGTCTAGAAAGGTGTTGTGCAAAATTGTTGTTGTGATTTAATATGAAATCGGTTATAATTAATATAATTCAGTCTAGGGTCTGCATTCCATCCATCGAATGGTGAGTTAAACTTAAAAATAATTAAATCTTTGTTTAATACAAAAATGCAAAAAGTCCAAGCCCACTCGTTCTGCGGTATACGCGAAGCAGCGTTCGGTAGTTTTCGTATTTTGTTATTGTACATTTTGACATCCGCCAATAAGCGCATTTTATAGCTGTTTTTTATGGCTACTTTGTAGTGCTCTTTGCTTTTATATAATTGCCGCATACTTTTAGGCGATCACTGTTGCCAGTAATATTTGAGAAGTTAGGGACCAGTTCGATTTTTTGTATTTCTAAACTGTAATGCAATGGTGATCGCGGGTCTGATAAGAAATTTGCTTCTCATTCTATCGAAGCCAATTGAAAAAGGGTGGCAAAAGTAAGTTATCAATTTCCATAATCGGGATTTTTATATGGAAACTTGAAAATAAATTTGCAAAAATGTATTAAAAGTGCAAGAGTTACTTAAATTCAAAATTTTGATATTTCCATAAAGATGACCACTGGCCGATTTTATAACGCTCGTTATTTAATCCAATTCATCAGAAAGAAGAGACAAGAGAGCCCAAAAAATTCCACGAAGATACTTCACAAAAAAATTTTGCATATTTCCAATTCAGATCCTTTTAAATCTAAGAAATTATTAAATTTTTTTGTACATACAAAATTCTTTATAAATATATTATAAGAGCTGAAGGTTTTTGTGTACGGGTCCATTACTTAAGCGCTTTAGTATTTAATATTTTCCCAATTCATAACATTTCTCAATGTCTCTCTTTCGTCACCGAAACGCAGTTATTTAGTTTTTTCTAAATGTCATGCTGGGTAGTGAATTTAAATACATAAATGTATATGCATGTATACAAAGATACAATAGTCACACCAATTTATTTATTATGACACATTCAATCAAATAAATTTCAGAGCAATTTATGGCACCCCCAGAGTTACTAACTTGACCGCAAATTGCCGTTCTTTTCAAGTATGCTGAGTATGAACATTGAGGAGGCAGCAGAATACCAGAAGAAATGCATGAAAACTTACTGGTATTTGTATCGAAGGATTCAAGGAAGATTTTAAAAACATATATTTCAAATTATTTATTATTTTAAACTCTCGCAACATATTGCATAGAGTATAATAATAGTGAAATACTTCGGTGTAATGTATTATACTTTCGATAACTTACTAAAAAGGTTTCAAAGGAAGCGGTGAAAAAATATAGATGAAATCAAATATCTCTGAAACTACTCCATCAAGTTAAACCAATTTTGTTGCCTAGTGTTACCTTGACGTTTCTTTGATACACATGTCTAAAAATTATCGAAATAAGACCATGTAGTGTAGGTTTGGGACATCGCATATGACTATGGTTGATTTTTCGCAGAAAATATCGGATGATATTTATTAATAAAATATAGAGTGAGTTTTTCTTGACAATTACTTCACCAGGCCTCCATATAAGTGGAAGGATTTTCGAACTTTCACTCGACTTTTTACAGTATACTTGTATGTACATCGGTCAATATGCGAGTGATCTTAATAAAATTTAGATTTCGTCTTTATCCGGTAATAGAGTATTCTGTTGCAAACAAATTGGTCAAATCAATAATTTCCATGGGCCCCAATTAATTTTATACATACTTCTATAAGTATATTATATATAACGGCGAATTATATACTATCAATACATAATGATCTTCTTTATTCGAGTGAAGTTTACCGAATATCATTGTAATCCAGTCAGGTTTAAGGGTTTCCATGGGTTGAGTAAAAAACCATGTTCTTCAAAAATTGTTTCTTCATATTTAAATTTATATTTCAAATAGTTTAATCGAAGTCATTAAGAATTGTATCTCTGTGTAAAAAAAAAGTTTTTAAAACCATAGTTTCGAGAAAAGCGCACTTAAATACGGCGCACTTAGGCTGGCTGACCTCGAGGGCACAAGTTATCAAGACTGTATCTCCGAAACTATTACTAGGATCAACTTGAAAACTTGAAGTGTTGCAAAATTTAATAAGACAATAAAAAATTCCATATTTTTAAACCCGTAAGCCCATTTTTCAACTATTCATACATTTATTTTGATTTTTGTATGGTTTTTTGATAGGAAATGCAGGAATTCTTCCTGATCGGTACTTGAATAATTATTAATTGTATATTGGAATAGAGAACACTAAACCATTCCTCAGATAGATATAAAAAGAGTTTCAACTCGCCCTAAATTTTGCTTTTTAATTTAATGTCTCCAAAAAGCTTGTTTCTAGAGTTATAGGTCCATAATTCTTTAATTGACCGCAAAACTAAACATTTCCACTAACCTAAATAGTTAAGACAGTAAGTCAAAGGATTGTACTGAGACATGTTCAGTATTACCAAAAACAACAACGCAGTCCATTTACAGACTTCACATGAAAATCACATAGTCACTATAACAGTAACAATAAACGAGCTTTGTGAGTTGAGAATTATAAACACAAATGAAGTATCAACCAAATTTGATTTATGAATCGGAAACAAACCTAACCATTATTTTTTTCTCTTATAAAAGTCGACTGCGGTATTCGCCGTTTCCAATGTGCAAAGGACCATAAATCTTCCACAGAACATTTCTCTCGAAACCTCGTAACGCCGACTCAGCAGATGTTGTCATCGTTCATGCCTCTGCACCAAATAGCAGGACGGGGATGGGGACTTGTAGAGTTTGGTCTTTTTTCGTCGAGAGAGGACTTCACTTCTCAATTGCTTACTCAGTCCGAAATAGCATCTGTTGGCAATAGTTATTCTGCGTTGGATTTCTAGGCTTACGTTTTGTCGGTTTTAATATGTACTAGTTCTAAGATAGACAAAATTATCTACGTCTTCGACGATTTTATAAACACTTAACTTTGCTCATTAAGCAAATACTCTGTAAAACACTAAAATCAAGTCTGTAAAGCATTACTTCTCTGTACCCCAGGTAAGGGCAAGACCAAACCCTTTCCATTAATGGTAGATATTAAAGGCTGTACCCAGGTACCCTGCGATGTTTATAAAGGCTTGAACACCGTGGTACAGGTGCACTTCGTAAGCAGTGAGTAGCAATTTAATAACAACACATTTTTTAAATATCCAATTTATGTTATTTAGTGTAATATTTCCAATCCAATTAGGCAAGGCCAATATTCATACGTTGACTGCCATAGTTACGCCACAGCTTTGGGTTATCCTCACAGAGGATATTGTTTATGATTTCCAATTTAATGTCGATCATTATTATCCTGAAATTCCAGCCACAATGCAACTGAATCTAGTCGATAAAGATAATGAAGTAATCACCTGCTTTAGTGCGAGTATTCGAGTGCGTAAGGGAACTGCCGCTAATAGCGTTAATGGTATAAAAGCCACCGAACTTCTTTTATTTTATAATAATACAAAGAACATCTTTCATTTAATTTAAACATCATTTTTAAACAAAATTGTTGTTTCGTATTTTTTATGCCACATTTAAGACTGTTTTATGCTTAGAGTAGATGTGAATTGAGAGCGAGTAAACAATAAAATAAATATTTTATGCTGTATTGACCATTTTCTGCTTAAAAATTATTTCGGAATTTTGCAAACATCTATTCCAATGGTCTTCAAACTTTTATTTCTTCAGTATGGACCTTTTCAGTTCCTTTGCACACTGGTCCATTTCGTATACTGATATTCGTTCGTTTTAAGTGTAGTGTTTTCGTAACTAAAGCCATCGTTTTGACTTGAGACTAATACACTTTCTTCTTTATTGTTGTTATAGTTATAGTTTGATATGCTGTTTGACGCAAATCCTCCATTCGGACGACAGGAGGTTGTACTCTGGAGCAGTACATCTACTGCTACCCCCCTTTGAACAATTCTGCAATAGTCGGGAAGTCTAAAACTGGAGTTGATAGATAGCTACTGATATTAACCCATCTACAAACCTTCCCTCCAAGCACATAAAGATTATATAGAGGATAATAGCCTTGATTATGGTGTCCTTGAGCCACATAACCACTTTCGGTGAGAGACCCCACCTGTTGCCAACTGCTCCTCTATAGCAGTATAAGGCAATTGATGCCTTTTTTGCTTTCTCTTCGATATTCAGCTTACATGAAAGCTTCCTATCCAGGGTGAGCCCTATATATTTCACTGTATCTGATAGTTGCAGTCGGATGTCTCTCAATTGCGACAGCGGTGCTAGCAGATTGTTATATCTTCTGATAAATAAAACTATATCGGTTTTATTTGGGACCACTTTCGACTGCTAAATTTGTTGCGACGCTGAGATATCCATCCGTCAACTCGTACACGGTACTCAGGAACTTTCCTTTGACGTAAAGTGCTACATAATCTACATAATCACTCCTCCGGAAGCTACGATAATTAAATCCTTTAAATTACGCAAAAAAGTTTCATATTCCAAAAAATAGAGTTGTCAGCTAGTTACCTAAAAGAGGTTTATGTTAGACTAGTTTTTTACGGTATACTATGCTTGATTTAGGATATAAGGCGGTCTTACATGATCCAGTTCGGATTATAAAAGACAGAAATTTTGATCAAGTTCTTTATTCATTATTGTCCTGTTTTAATTTTTAGACTCTCCCCCGTTCGTTCAGATATAATTAATTAACTAATAACATTATTTAAGCCAAAATGAACTTCTTACGCAAGTAGATATTATATCTATAATCAATCTATTTAAGAGAAGATCACATAATCAAATATGAAGAATATGCGCTATGAACTCTTTTCTTCTTCTGTAATAAAACTCAGTAAGAAATTATCTACTTCAGAAGGAAGAATGGAAATATATTAATTCTAAGCCAAGGGTCTTAATTGTTATATTTTATTTTTTTTTAATGTTATCTTAAATAATTTTTGTTTCTGCTGTGATTAACGTCAATCAAGTTTTATCGCCGTAAACATTATAAACTTACTTCGACATGCATGTATGTACATATATCTGTGATGACAGTTATCTATTCAATTAGATAACAATTGAAATGATATAGGGATGTTTATAAGATATATATGCATATGATATATACGTACCTTACTTATAGGTGGGCTGCACCATTCGTGGTCTTATAGATATGGTGGTAGTATATTTGGGTACTTCTGATATTAAATCCATATGATTTTTCGATTTTAGTATTTATTCTTAAAAGATAGGTGTACAAATTTTACCTCGTGTGCAAATTCTACCCGAGGTTTTGAGATATAGCATTTTGAGTGAAGCACCTGTATTACTTTACAACAAATGGATCAAAAGGAATTTCGTGTATTAATTAAGCATAGCTTTTTGGTGGAAAAATACTGTTGAAGCCAAAGTTTGGATTGATCAAGATTTGTTGGACTCTGCATAAGAGAAATCAACCACCGCAAAATGGTGGTAAGTTTGAACGAGGGTAAGACAGTGGACGCCCTAAAGATTCCATTAGCAACGAAAACATTAAAAAAGTCACCAAAATAATTTCGGATGACCATACAGTGGAGTTGTTTGAGATATCTGAAAATAACAAGGCTGCGTTTTATATTTTAAATAAATATTTTGGTTTGCACAAAGTCCATCAAAAACAACCGCGAATTGATGATTCTGAGGAGAGTTTGAAGCTTTTTGTGCTTTCGCAACAAAATCGAATTTTCGCATCAATATGTGTGACAATGGATGAAACTTGGCTCCATCATTTCAAACCTGCATATGATGAACCGACTCGAAAGCTTGGAAGTAAATAAAAGATGACGAGCAAAGTTATACCATTAGTATTTTGGGATGCTCAGCATCGAATTGTTTCCGCATCCACCCTATTCTCTGTCTCAGCGAACGGTTATTCCAGCACATTCCTTACAACATATGTATGTTCATTAGCTAGAAGAAATCCGAAAAAATCTCGGGGCGAACCATCCGTTTAACACTTTAAATATTTTTTAAGGGTTGGATTTAGACTCTAGTCTTTGGAATTAAATCTAGTCGAATGCTCTCACTACCATAAAGTATTCCAAAGACGGTAATGCGTTACGATATGATTTCAGCATGAATAAAGTTCAGAAAATAATTTAGTTCTGGCATAGTTAATCTTTCAGTGATGATTCCACAATACTAAATCTCCAACAAGCAATAATAACAATAAATACACAAATAATGAACATGTCATTAAGTTTATCTTTCGCTGATTGGGCGAAGTAAGATAGCAAAAGATCATAAAACCAAGAAGTAGCAAGCCGCGACCCGTTCACTACGAACAGATTTAGAACGGCATAGTGTCTTCCATCGCGAATGAGTTCAGACCAACATAACGAAACATGGAATCAGATACTAAAACGGAGCCAACAAAAGTTAGTCCTTTAAGACTCAACACTGTGCGGATTTTCAGCTTAGCCAGTGCTTTACTCCTCTCAATGATAGTGACAGTGACATGCATCAGTTTTCTAATGAGTTATGAGGTGGCCACTGAGGTATCCAGTATAGAAGACATACCCTATTGGAAGGACAAACTGCCGCCGGAACAGCAGTTATGGTACGACGAAGCAATTGAAGAGCTACAGTTGGCGTTGAAAAGGGACTTACATAAGCAGCTAGCGGAAAATGCGATCATCTTCGTGACGAGTGGCATTGATACGGAGACAATGGCCGCAGCGCGTGCATTGCTGGCGAATCGAACCAAGCCACAGCCAGCGTTGAGTTGGGAGCGATTTCCACATCTCGGCAGATTGAAGGTTCCGTGTCAAATAATTTTTTTTTTTGTTTGTTATTGTGCGTAGTAAAGAGATAACTCTACATTTTTAGAATAGTTGCAGCAACACCGATCTCTGCGATCCATTCACCGTGGCCAGCGCCATTTTCAATGGTGTGCGTTCCAACTTTCGTGTCGGTGGACTCGACTCCGGGGTGTTGTTTCGCGACTGCGCTGCTGCGTCAAATGTCAGTCATCACGTGAAGAGCTTAGTAGAGCAAGCGCAGGAGGTTGGACTACGTACCGGGTTCGTGACGACACGACGTGTCACCGGCGCCAGCATGGCGGCGCTATATGCACGTACACCGAACACCGCTTGGGAATGTGATGCGGCATTGCCGTTAGCAGCTAGTGCGGCCGGTTGCATTGACGTGGCGCAACAACTGATCAAGAGTGCGTGCGGTCGAAATGTGAACGTGATTATGGGTGGCGGACGACAGACGCTCGTCTCGAATGTGCCGAACACGGTTTGGGATCCAGTCGATGAGACAACTTGCAATTCGCAGGACAAACGTAATATCATAAGCGATTGGCAATTGTTAAATGTGAAGTTGAAGCGCGACTTCGCCGTCTTGTTGAATAGTGACGACTTGCGCGAGTTGAATGGTACTAAGGTCGACTATGTCATGGGTATTTTCGCAAACAACAACTTACAACACACCAATGAAGTGGATGCACGTAGGCGCCGCGTACCGCAATTGTCGGCAATGATAACGAAAAGTTTAAACGTCTTAAAACGTAAAAATAAGAGATATCTGCTGGTTGTGGAGAGTGGCGTCGAGTCCACAGCGAGTGTAGATAAGCAAATGGGCACTCTCTTGCAATTGAATGATGTTGTGCAGCAGACGTTGGATAAAACTAGGTGAACAATTTGTGAAAGTACTTTCTTTGCTTTTTATAATTTTTATTTTTGCTAGTGGAAGTGAAACGCTAGTTCTGGTGCTCTTCACCAACGGCAATTATGTGCGTAATGCAGTCGAAAGTAGCGCTGAAACAGATGCTACGGCTAATGTAATTGACTTTGGGAATAACGAAAACACACCTATAGAGCAAAGTTTGTCCAATATGGCCACGGAAGCTGTGGTTTATGCAAAAGGTATGGTCTATAGAAGACATACGACTCTTGTTCAATGTAAGGTGATGATGTTTGATTTAGTTTTCGGACAGTTTCATATAGATTAGGTTAAGTTAATTTGACAGGCCAAAGAGTCACGCATATACCATTTTTTATTTTGCGATATCAGATGGAGTTCAGTTTTTGGATGCCTGCGCTGACGCGAATTTGTGAATTTTAACAAACTCTGTGGCCTGACTATCGATATCTCATCCAATGTATTATACCATTATACCACGGGCACCTCAGATGCTTACATTGTAGTTTTGCCAACGCGGGCCAAGTTCACCAGAGCTCCTGCTTTAGACATTTCCTGCAGTCTTTTCGATTTGTCAACGCCATTCTGCGGGCGTGTGTCGCCACCAGACAGTGATCAGTTAGTATTCCGATCATGTTTCCACAAACTCTTCTATCAAGTACCAAAAAGAATTGTATGTACTTTCGATCTAGCATTTTGTACAAGATTTTTGCAGTTTTGCTGCCGGGTAGTTCGTTCCATCGGGTTTTGACTTTCTTTGCCCTGCTTCTGTCGAGAACGACGTATAGACAATGCATGGGTTTCCCAATGTTGATTACGTTTTCGGTTTTTAGACGTACACTATTTCCTTGCCCTCAATGCCTTTGTGGCTTGGCACAGGAGAAGTGAAGTTGCTTGGTTCTGGCAACACTTTTCACTGCTACCCTGCTTTCCAAGACACTTCTGGGCAATACAGTTCCATATAGCTCAACATTTATGGTAATTTGTTTCGGACTACCGACCCTAAGCTCTCCTTATGATGAAACGGCAGCCCGGCTTACTAACCTTCACTTATTTCGCTAACTTATCCAACTCCCTTGATTATGGCGGTACTTTAACACCAAAAATATTACGTATCTTTGGTATAATAATCATAACAAAGAATTAGAATGAAAGGACGAACGGTAATTCAAGAATTTGGTACTGAAAATGAAATAGGTTGATGCAAAACTGAAAACAGACCAAGCAGTTATATGGATCTATAAATCGATTTGTGTCTTAAAAGAAATCTCATTAAAGTTCATGAAAATAACTTCTGTCTTCAAAATTAAATTTGGTTTTCATATAAAATCATTTCCCTCTTCTTTGGCAATACAATTGAGCTTTGGTCTGGGTCGAGAACACGAAACTTCACCAGTTATCTTTATCCTTTGCGAGGCCACGCCAGTTTTACATCCATGTGCTGGCAGATCCATATGCACTAGGTCTTTCCATTGGATGTATGGGCGTCCTTGCTTCCTTTTTAAACGCATGGGTCATAAATTGAAGGCGCTTATCACTGGAATAATGGTTTCTCATACTTGTAGCCTTACCAGCGCATTTCTTTGATTTTTATTTTACATAAAATATTAATGAGTATGAAAGAGGCACAAACGGATTACAAAAAGTATTATATTATATATATTTATTAAAAGTCCGTAACCCAGCCCTCCTACTACATGTTGAAGCAGATTAGTATACATTTTCCTCAACAATCGGCGATTGACGTGTATCTGAGACTTAAGCCCGAAATCTATCGAACTGAACTGTGGAACTATCGTGGTGTACCTCTTGCTCTTTATATAATTAATATGCGACAGAATGCTATTTACCCTACTCCTTAATTGTGGCTGTGACTCTGTATGTAATAATTCCTAACCAGAAGGTATTCTGACCATTTTTTTTTTTCATGTCTTCACTAAGTCGGCAGAGCATCTACAGATTTAAGTGAGTGATGAGTTCTTTCCTTCCACTTCCAAGTAAATATACTTTAGATTGATTTAAGGAATGCTCCTTTCTTGATCCATAGCTCTCTCCTTCCCAATTATAAAGATGGGATGATGAATCGTTCGAATATCAGTTTAAGCTGCATTTAATATCCTTAAATTTATTACTGTCTAATACCTATATTGAGGACCTAATTAGTGCCTAACCTCGCTATCAATAGCATCGAGTGTCTTTGAGATAAGACTGGTTTGGTTGCCAGGCCACAGCGGAATCGCAGGAAACTGTAAAGCTGATAAGATAGCAAGAAAAGGTACTGTAGAATCGCTCTTTCTTCTTTTCTATGTCCTCATAAAGGACTAACCTAACCTAACAATGGCACTATGTCCCTTTTCTATTTGTAAAGAGAGCTTTTGGAATAGAGTATGATGATACAGTTTTGAGATATGTGGGGAATTCAATAACATACTTATTGGGATATACACCCCCCTTTATGGAATCATGTTTAAAATGTTTTTAACTATATTATGGACAGAACTATATTACAATTTAAGCGTTTTCTTCCGATGTAAAAAATATCTGAGCTACATATAGTTACATTATTCTTGTCTCCGTTATAGGACCACGGTCTTACCTGTTACATGGCGTTCACGAGGAAACTTACATGTCGTATGTCTTATCTTATGCGTTACAAATGGGTCATTTCAAGCCAAACTCCGATGCCGAACAAAGACATAGATAACTGGTGTATATACAGATATACATATTAGCAGTTTTTATTAAATCGGAAAAATCAATGATCATTACAATAAATACTCGTATGAGTACATATGTGTGTTTGCATATATATTTTATTTAGCTAAGGAAAAAATCTAAAATTCAAAACTATCTAAAACTTTTGCACATTATTTAACACTTACGCAATACCTCTAAATATTACCATCGTATGCCGTTAAGGGTACCGCTACAGCTGCCGTGCCTGTCGTTGTCGTTTCCCGGGTTGTTGTTGCGGCGGGTAGCCAGCTGAAATGCCGCGGCACCGCATTCAAACCATTCGGCGGTGGTCCGGCCGCTGCCGTCGGCAACTGTGACAATTCTCTACTCAGCGTTGTTGTTGTCGTTACAGTGGTACCGAGTGCGATGCGCGGCACAGGACGCACAATGTTGGGTCATTTTGCAATTAAGGCGGTGGGCGGCGGTACATGTGGTGGGCGTGGCGTGAAGGCACCCGCTGCAGCAGTTAGATTACGCAAATGATTCGCCTGCACATACTGGAAAGCGGAAGAGTGATCCAAGTGCTGCGAGAGATACAATTCACCCAGTGAGTAGAAACGTCGTTGATCGAAGGCGGGAAAGGGAAATGGATTGAAACGTTGCGGATAAGGTTTGATCGTGTGTGGATGGGCGACGCCAAAATGCTGTGATGCCTGTGTGTGTGGTGCGCGTGGTGCTGGTACTGCAGCCGTCGCGTTGGTGAAGGGGAAATGGTTTTTCGTTTGCTGCATTGGATGTGGAAACACTGGGTTTGCAATTGAGTTGGAGTTTTTGAAGATGTCCAACGATTTGAGATTCTCCAATATCTGATGGGAAGCTTGATGTTTCTTCAGATAAGCATGGCTGTAATATAGTAAATATGAGTTTCAAAACATAAAGACAAATATTTGGAAGTGCTTTTTAGCAGAATGCTAATATAGTTTCATTATTGGTATTTTTATGTGAAAATATTTCTTCTTTATTAGAAATCTACATATCTACCTCTGTATGAAGTGGTTTGACCGAATTTATCTATTTTTATTACTGTTGACCACCATAATAACGTTAGATTTCTCCTCTAAATTCTCTCACATTTTTTCTTATGATCTCAGATATCTATTACAGAAAGTCTGCGGAACGAAAATTTACAAAAATTCGTGAAGACAGACTTTAACCCCAAACAGGTCCGACCTAACAATTTTTGGTATGAAACCTTCACATCTCTGCTACAAGTATTACTTAAAAGCATAGACGGTTACCTAGTGCACAAAAAATAGTAAAACTTTGAGTTTCAAAATTCTTAAATTATTCCTAAAATTCTATGTCGTCCCATCAAAGTAATCTCTATTGGAACTAAAATTCTTGTGAAAACGGTTTTACCAATTCTCGGAAAAGTTGTTAAGGTCATTTTCCGGATTAGTCTTCAATGCGGGTAGCGATTCACATATAATGTCTTCAATTGACTCAAAGCGGTTTCCCCGAAGCGATCTATCGAGTTTGCTGAGTAGCGAGAAGTTACACGGAGCTAAATCAGACGAATACGGTGGTTGTGGTATAATAATGCATATTGTCGCAGTATGCGACGGTGCATTAGAGGTGGAGCGAAAACAAAGGGTTGTCGGCCCATAATTCCGGCAACCTTCTAATAGCTTCTCGCAAATGTAGAATAACACTCAAATAATATTCCTTGTTGACAGTATGGTTGGTCCAAAGGAATTTTGAGTGCACCAAAGCTCTTTAATCAAAGAAAACTGTCAACATAACTTTGATTTTTGACCCGCTTTCACGTGGTCTTTTGAACCGATTGTGGCCGATTGAACGTCCGTTTCCGGGTCAGGAGCATAGATCCAAGACTTATCACCAGTTATAATACGTTTCATGATCATCCTGATAGCAGAAAAGCACTGTTTCACAGACGTTAACACAACTAGGTTTTTTCGAAAAAATTTAGTGATTTGGGAACCAATCGAGCTTTCACTTTTCTTAGAACCAAATTATCTTTCAAAATGATTTTCACTAATCCTTTCGAATTTCAATGATGCCAGTAAATTCTTTGTCTGTAATTCGTCGATTCTCAAGCAGCAATTCCTTTATTTTATTGACCGTCCTGCACGTGGTTTGTCGTGAACGCGTTCCCGACCCTCTTTGAATAATTTGAACCTGTCAAAAACAAGTGCTCGCGACAAACAATTGTCACCGAAAACCTTTTCGAATATTCTGAACGTTTCGGCATCAAAAATTTGATTTCTTCTTGGTTGAATAATTTTACTCATCGTAAAAATCTCCGAATGTACTATATGTATACAGAAAGACAAGCTTAAACTAAACACCAATCATTATTTTGACGTGGCATTTGGTATAGATATAACTGACAGTCATACCAACTTAGAAAAATAAATTTCGATGAATGAGATTTCGCGCGCAATTTTAAACTAAAAAATCTCAGTATTTTTTGCCCACGATGGTAAATCAATTTTACTCAGATCCATTTGCTTACAGACCCTTTTTGGTTACATTTCTTTAACTTTGTATCTTACACATCTGTTTGAACCGCTGATATCGGACCACTACAGCATATATCGGAATCAAGTACTTGTATGGAAATTTTTTTCATTTGAAGAGGTATCTTCAAGAAATTTAGTAGAGATTATTACCTGAGGCATCGCTACAATCTTCAAAGATATTGTTTGTTTTGGAAAATGTTAGCTTATAGTTGCCATACATACTGAACGATGAAACTTTTGTATTTGTCAAGCTATTCTTTGAAAGTCCTTCTAAATTATTATGCAAGGTAATACTATTATTTCTGAATACATATCTTGTTTACCGATAAAAATTATACTAAACATTTTTTACACCATTTTCTACTATAAAACACATACTAGTGAAGGGTATAATGGTTCGGTGCAGACGATGTTAACTTTTTTCTTGTTTAAATCATAATTTTAATCAAGAAAATTCCAAACTTAAATTTTAATTTCACTTACCGTCGGAAATGCTTGCCGCACTGTGTACAAGGATAGACCCCCTCCGCCCCTTCGTCCGCGAGATTCATCTTCTCATACCGCATACCAGCCGCCGCTGCTGCTGGTTCGTTCAAGTGTCGCTTCTTACCCTGTCCGCTGCTCGCCATTAACTCCGACTTCGGCTTATGCCAACGACGATGTGAAGCCAAATTAGCGGGACAATTGAAGACCTAAGGAAAAATAATAAATAAATTGTTTGCCTAACAACTGACTGCCGCTCGCTCCACCCACCTTTTCGCACTCAGAACACTTGTACTCGATGTGTACGATGCGTGGACAACGGTGTTGCGCTAGCTGGAATGCATCATCGTACAGCGTACGGCACAGCTGGCATAAGTAATCGCCAATTTTGTTGTCGATGCTGGCCAAAATCGCCTTAGCTTCTTCGGTGATTTCGACCACATTGAAAGCCGGATCAATGTCACCTTTGCGCACCACCAACTCTTCGTCGTCGCGTAACTTTCGTATAATGGTGCCGGAGACGGGACTGATGGTCTCCTCATCGAGCGTCTGATGATGCTTACGCAGCTTCATGCGTTTTCGCTCCGATTTATGCGAACGTTGCTGATGTGGTCGTCCAAAACTATTAGCTTTCGCTGGTGACTTTTCCACATGTACCGCTGTATTGGGTTCACTGAAGTTCGCCTCATTTATTGCTGTCAATACGGTATTTGTTGGTTTTCTAGTCAGTAAATTACTATCTTGCGTCTTCTCCACATGAGGTACTTGAAAATCTTTTTCGAATAACTTCGCCAAACCGTCGATGGCACGATGATGTAACTCCTCATTGTCATAGACGAGTTTGTTGCGTGTCAAAGCTTTGCCGGACTTTGCAATCTCCTCCTCCAGCTCTTGACACTGCAGACGCTGTGTGAAATTGGCGCTATTGAGCGGATTTAAGTCGTCGTCGTCGTCGTTGCTCAGTATATCGACATACACCTCTTCGTCATCTGCCGGCTCCATATCCTCATTATCAATGCTTTCCCTCGCGCAACGATTCTGACTTTCATTACTGCTGGCATCCGCGTACACTGTTGTTGTTGCTCTGAAATCAGCCATCCTGTTCGTCAGCATAACCGCAGCTTCTTCATCTTCGTCATCGTCTTCGTCGTCTTCGTCGTCGATTTCTTCGTTGTAATCGTGTGAACTGACAAGTGTTTCTTCCTCATCCTCGGTTAAGACAATCGTTTCATCGTCCACGCAAATAATGGGCAATGGGCTTTGTTGTGGCGACCGCTGCAGTTCATTCGGTTGTTGCTGTGGTCCGTGCTGCTCTAATCTTGCTTCATGTGGTATGGTTGGTATTGTGGTTGCTTGACTTTCTGGAATTTCTTCAAAGCTACTCCTCATAACGTGTAAATTGTTTTTATATCTGTTAGACGATGTTGTGTGTGGCATCGGATATTCGTCGTGACGACAGTCGTACGCTAACGGTAGTTGAGCTAGGTAATTGCTACCAGCACTAACTTCCTTGGCTGTGTGTGTGGATGAGGGTCTGCCAGTTGATGATAGCAACGGTGTTAACGGCGTTTGTTGATTTGTTCCCATGGCGTGCGGTCGCCAAAGGTAATTCTCGTCTGACATTAATCTTTGACGCTTTCGCGGCGGTGAGGGTGTTGAGGGTGGCGTAATCGGTATTAGATTGGCAGCGCGCAGCGATAAGTCAAGTGGCGAGAGCAGTGTGGCAATTGATCGACCGAATTGGGGAAATGTTTCATTGATGTTGGGCAGAACTTTGCATTCTGTATATTGTTCGTTCAACATTTTTCGTTTTTCTTTGCTCAGCTACGTTTAGGGAGAGATTAACAAGATGTTGACTTTAAAACTGTGAGCCGAAGGTATTTGTAACCAAGTGCAAGAAGCTTATGAAGGATCCTAGAAGCGTTGTCAAAATCGTCCGTCGTTACAATGTAACGGATAAATTTATATTTCTAGCGAATATTGTTTGAGGACCTACAGTCATTGTAAGTAAAAGTCTGGCTAAATTATAAAAAAGTAATTAATTTGGAGTACCATTCGCAAATTCTGGGACTGAAAAATAATGACAATCAAAACAAAATAAACATCAATAATATCATGTGGTAGGTTGCATGAACAATTAAGAACTTCTTCATATGAAGTATACCAGAAATGACAGATCCTCAAAAATTAGAAAACTTCAAGACACACCTGACGTTATACTGTCAGCACTTGGATGAGTTTCGGAATCGTATTAAAATCTATTGCTTCTGAGAAAAGATGCATTAAGGAATGGAATGAAATGAGTAAAAAATCATACGATAAAAGTTAATCAACTTACAAGTAGATTGTATAATATGTAAGTAAAAGACTTTAAGTCCTTTCGACGGTTATTCTAAAATACACGCTCACATTATAGGACTGCCGGATCGAGAAGACTGCAGGAAATGTTTAGAGCAGGCTACTAGTGAAACAATGCAGTCGTTATGCAATTGTTCCGCATTGACAAGACTACACTGTAAGCATCTGGGGTCCCCACGGTATGATACACTGGAGGAGGTATCGACAGTGAGGCCGCAGATTCTGTTGGATGACTACTCCTTTTGAACCTGCCAACTCAACTCCATCTGGTTTCGTAAAGGACCAAAAAATTGATTAATCTAACTTAAGCTTACCTAATCAATTATTAAACAGTAGGTAGTTTGCTTGCGATATCTCAACTTCTTTTTTGATATCGGAATTCAGCTAGCTCCTCATAACAAGATAAAGAATCAAGGAAAAACTCTAACTAGTAATTGGAGTACTAAATAAAGACTGATGCACGCTATCCTTATCCATGATCTACGGACGATATAGAGGAAAATCTGGAATTTCAAGTTTCAACTGTGTAAACGCTAACGACGACATCTCATTTCTTGAAAGAAGAATATTCTGATTTTTGGCTTAACAAAACTTAAAATTATATAGTATAACTATAGTCCATGCAATATCATGTAATAAAACTGAATATGCTAATTAATTTTTTGTGGACTAATATTATCTCTAGAGGTTATCAGAGCTATTTTAGATTAAGGTAAATTGTTACGAAGTTATAGATAGATATACCTAAATGATCAGCATAACGAGCTGAGTCTCCGAAATCACGGATTTTCGCGAATTGTTATTTTTTGATGTTGAAATTATGACTAATACAAAATGAGTTAAATTTGATCTAACACAAAAACTTGAAAAATATTATTAATCTGTAGAAAAGTTGCTAAGTCCGCTATGGAAGCTTTTTTTGTTTTTTTTTTTTTTTTTGTGTGAAATTTGACAAAATGGCGGCGATTTGAAAAAGTATCGATTTTGGCTCTTTTTTTCGAGAGTTTTTCGTAGAAAATAATTGGAAGATTTAAGAAAATTAAAAATTTTTTATCCAAATTGAAACTAGATGTCTTCAAAACTCTGTCTTTGAGAGTAGAAACTGTTTTTAAAGAGACCATTCTCATTTAAAGAATGGAATCACTATGTTTTTCAGTTTTTTGGTGTAATGCTGCAAAAAGATTGATTTTTCAAAAACTTCACACTAATTTCTATGTCTGTATATAGGCGAACTAGTCCCTCAGTTATTGAATTGAAGTTTTGTCCACGTCCTTTTCTCTCCTCATTTTTGGCGGTTGCGACGGGACCACTATTGCATCGAGCTTTCATACAAACTAAACGATCGGAACGATTAAGGCAACGGTGCAAGCTGCGAAGAAATTATTAAGATTGTGTCATTATTGAATATAACTGCCACACAAACTGACCGATCAAAATCAAGTTCTTGTAAGGAATAACGAGTTTCCATAAAATATCTCTGGTTGTAGAGAAGGCGCCCATATATTCCTGTCCTAATTCAAAGCATTAGTAATTTAAGGTAAACATGGGTTTATGAGTTTCAAAAATTCGTATTTTTCATTGTCTTATAATTCTACAACACCTCCAGAATATTGTCCTAATTTTCAAATTTATCTCAGTAATAGTTTCGAAGATACAGCGTTGAGAACTTGTGCGTTCGAGGCTGGCTAGGCTAAGTGCGCCGGCTATAAACGCTTTTTTCTCGAAACTGTGTTTTTGTGGTCTGTTGGCAAGATGTCTCGTGAACTGCTCAACCCGATCGTTATGAAATTTTACACAGATCTTTGAGATCAAATCTTAAGACTTGGGCGAAGGATTTTTATTTCGATTACAACTATTTGAAAAAAAAAAAAAATTTTTTGCGAAATTTGAATTTTTTTGTAAAAATGTCTGGAAAAACTCCTATCTTCAATTTTTCTTCGTCCAAATTCTTAGTTAAGGTTTTTAACTAAAAAGCGTAATTTTTTCACTTTAGATGATTTTATAAGTAGTTATCCTGGGGTCACCGGAAATGGAGTCGGAATAACAGAGTTTAAAAAACTTGTTTTTTTTTTTTAAATTGCAGAATTTCTTTGTTAATAGTAATAATAAACAAGTAAGGAAGGCCTAAGTTCGGGTGTTACCGAACATTTTATACTCTCGCATGATAAAGTGATAATCGAGATTTCATTATCCATCATTTACATATTTTTTTCTTTTGCTGTAAATTAATTAGACTAGATCAATTTGTGTACTTTGAGTATTGAATTGTATTTTCATTTATTTTAAATGTGTTGAAAAGTTATAATCCGATCACGACAATTTTTCCACAAGGGATACCTCAGCTCAAATACCGTATTTGTGTAAAGTTTTATTCCGCTATCATCATTCTTTCCTAACGTATATTTTTTACAGAGAAAGCATCATATGGAATTCAAAATAGCGTTATATTGGAAGAAGTCGTGGTTGTGAACCGATTTCGTACATATCATCAGGGTGTTAAGAAAATATTATATACCGAATTTCATTGAAGTCGGTCGAGTAGTTCCTGAGATATGGTTTTCGGTCTGTAAGAGGGCGGCGCCATTCCCATTTTCAATTTTTAAAAAAATCCTGGGTGCAGCTTCCTTCTGCCATTTCTTCTGTAAAATTTAGTGTTTCTGACATTTTCTGTTAGTCGGTTAACGCACTTTTAGTGTATGGGAGGTGGGCGTGGTTATTATCCGATTTCTTCCCTTTTTGAACTGTATATGGAAATGCCTAAAGGAAACGACTCTATAGAGTTTGGTTGACATAGCTATAGTAGTTTCCGAGATATGTACAAAAAACTTAGTAGGGGGCGGGGCCACGCCCACTTTTCCAAAAAATTACGGCCAAATATGCCCCTCCCTAATGCGATACTTTTTGCCAAATTTCACTTTAATATCTTTATTTATAGCTTAGTTATGACACTTTATAGGTTTTCGGTTTCCGCCATTTTGTGGGCGTGGCAGTGGGCCGATTTTGTCCATCTTCGAACTTAACCTTCTTATGGAGCCAAGAAATACGTGTACCAAGTTTCTCAGTTTCTCATGATATCTCAATTTTTACTGCAGTTACAGCTTGCACAGACGGACGGACGGACGGACAGACAGACATCCAACTCTACTCGTCACCCTGATCACTTTGGTATATATAACCCTATATCTGACTCTTTTAGTTTTAGGACTTACAAACAACCGTTATGTAAACAAAACTATAATATTCTCCTTAGCAAATATTTTATTTTTTATATGCGAAAAAAATTTTGAAAAAAGGCTGTCTGTTAGCCGAGGAAACCTATGTAACCTCTTAAGATAATACGGTCGTTTTGTGGGGGAAGCAGTCTCCATGTAAAATGTGTCCTTGACAAACATTTTCCACCAAATGGGAATATAATTTTAATCAATAATTTTTTTCCCAATTATAGTTTCAAAATTGGTTATTTGAAATGGGGTCTTTCATAAAATTGAGAAAACTATCTTCTTTTATCAATCTTTATCAATTGACCATATTTTTTGTAGAAACTTTTGGTGCATAAATTAACGACTAGTTTTAGTTTCGAAAAACGTAATAGTTTTCAAAATATTTCAACACTTTTAAATGAAACTGCTGAAAAATTTATTCAACAATTTTTATACGTAAGAAAACATTTAAATAAAAGTATTTCTTCTCTACTCAATTTATAGATATCTATAAGAAAGGACATATGGATAATCCAGACTACAGCAAATACAATTTTTTTAGAATTTTCTTTGTTGCAAATTAGTAATGTTTCAACTTTTACAACTTTTTAATTAAGAGTTTGAGCAAGTCCTTGCATTGGCTTATAGTCAATTTTATTCTCTGTCGTGAGGCAAAACTAAATTGGTAGAAGAAACCAAAAGTCGCCTTACAAAAAAGTTATAAAAATGGTCGATCCTCTTTTTTTTATCATTAACACAAAATTCCCAATGACAGTTCAGTTCTATCCAAATTTATATTGTTGTCAAATCATAACTTTTTTTTTTAACTATATTTCCTTCATTAACTTTATAACATCACCATTATTTTCGAAAGAAGCACTTTTCTTCGTAACTTATTTTATAACATACTTTTTTGAATGCAAGATATTCTCACTCCGAAATCGCACTCAACGCCATTACACCACGAATTGCTGCTGGTTTTCAAAACTTAGCAGCAAACACTTAAAATTGAAATCAGTGTTCAGTTTCAGAGGCAAAAAAAAAAAAAAAACTTTTCCCAACAGCAGCTTTCTCAAATATAATATATTTTTTAGTACTCAAGAAACTTTTGCACTGCTTTATCGCGCCGTTAGTTAGTAGTACCGCATGCGAGCGTCCATCAAAGTAAACTGATTGCCACCAAATATTGCGTACGTTTGGGTCACCTGTCGCAATGTGTCAAATTGAGTTTGAGAACAACAAAAGCCAACAAAGAAAGGCAGGCAGCCAGCCAGCGAGCGAGTCAACCAACCAACAGACGCACCCACCACAACCTCCCAACTCCAAGGACACGCATAAAGCCAACCAACTTTCAACCAAACACACAAGCGTGATGCGCGCTTAACGGCACTCAAACGCGCCATCTCACTCGCACGCTACCGATGCGTCAGTGAAGGCATGCCGAGCAATCCGCAACACCCCTACCCATACGACAGGGATGATTGGATCGTTGATTTACCAAGCAAGCAACCGCCTGCCGCTGTAGCATTGCTCTACATCATCCCCCGACGCATTGTGAGCATAAATCACTCAACCACCCCCACCACCCAGCGACGTTGGTCACCCACTATCATTGCAGCGGCTTGAGTCGTTCGCTTTGCGCATGCCCGGCACCGCCCTCTGCAGTGGTAAGCTCTCCACCAGACATTCCGACTGGACTTGCAGACGGCCCCGAAATCCATTGAATTCGGGATTAAAACATGAAAGCAACAAGTCGGCGTAGGAATGCTGCCTTGTAGCGACGGCTCGGTTGGAGGGAGTGCTGGCACGCCCCTTTCGCTTTGTTCGCTCCGGTTTTGTTTGCTTTTGCTGTGCATAGTTTCACTTTGTGGCGCAAGTCAGTTTACCAAAAGGGAGCCGTGGTGGGCTCAGTGTTGGCTCGTGGCTGAATGACAACGTTATTGTTGCTAGTGTACAAAGTAAAAAAAAAAAAAAAACACGTTAAAATAAGAAAAGGATTCAAATTGAATTACATTTTCATGCAGTCCGGCTTTGGTAAGGTAGCTGTGGGTACAAAATATTCTTTATGCGTTCTTTCAAAGGATGCATTGTTATTGGTCTCTGCCCACATTGCAACTTTCAAAGCTATGTTGCTGTAATGCAAGATTGATTGTGGAAGGTGGAGAGTTATTTGCGGTTTTTGAGTGTGTGGCGTGAGTCCGTATAGAAGAGGCTGTTCCCGTTGCTAGCATTGAGATGGAGTGAAATTCAAAATGGTGGAAATCACAGTGAAAAAAGGAAAATGATCAAAGTGCATTAAGCACGAATGCCTTCGAGATTAGTTCGCTCTTGAATACGTCTGTACTGGCGGTTCGTGTGTGAAGCTTACTTATGCATGTTTTAAAACGTATGTTTTGCGGACGTAAAAGAACTTTTTGGTTTAATCAAAATGCCTAAACTATATAAAAGGCACCATTAAATAGTCGATCTCGCATTTAAGTTTTAAATCTTACCTCGTAGAAGCTACAGTTTATATTTATAAATATAAATAATATAAACGATTTTTGGGAAGAATTCAGTTAATGCTGAACGGCATAGGAATCCTTTTAGATTGGTGATTATGACTTCGAAAGGTGAAGAAACTTTAATTTTCTCTAAGGGTTAGGTTATCTCTTTTATTCAGAGAAAAATTAAGTTTGTATAGAGCGTCAATTACACGAGTTTTCAGTGAGTTTGGAACTATGATGTTATGGGCTGTATCTTGCTAATTTTGTTTGATAAAACTTAAAATGATAGCAAAACTTTCCTTCGCGTAGGATTTTTGTATTATTGTAGGTGTGTAGGGGTTAAGCTTTCACTATTTACTAAATTGAGAAAAATAGCTGTACGTGTTGGAAATTTTTTGTAATCGGGACAACATAAATACTGCGCAGACTCTAAACACATCAGTCATTACAGATTTATAGAGTAGTCTAATGATTAACGAGCTTGAAAAAGGAATATTTAATGGAGAGCTTTTTCATACCAATGCTGATACTGTTAGCTAGTACAAATCATTCCGAATATTGAATACGTAAGTAAGGTGAGCATTCCGTTACCTTCATATGATGTTTTGCAAGACTACCCAACGGAGGTATAAACAAAAGGATTTCTAAAATAAACCAACAGACCTGATTCGAAACTTTTAACGGGACTTCTTCGTTTTGTTTTGTCACTTATTTTCCTCGGCCAAAACTTTTGTAACTCAAATAAGGTCCAAATGCGTTCGAAAATTGTGGCATAAAAGCAAACAATGTTTCTTAATATTTTGAAAGCTTCTTCTTCTTTATTGGTGTAGACACTGTTTATGCGGTTATATCCAAGTTTAGGACACAAGAACCTCGGATGAAACTTAAAAGCTTCTACTATTCAAAATGAAGAAGTGTTTTCAAAATTATTTTTCAAATCTCAGTTCTCAATTTCTGGTTTATATTATTTAGAGACTTCTCGATTATAAATTATAAAATATCTAATCTCTTAGTATATCATAAAATACCGTCTTAATAGTTGAAGTGTACTGAGATTCAGAATATTTATAAAGAAATCTAATACATCATGTTTCCATGACTTAAGTAACTCTCACTCACTTTCGTGGTTAGATGGTGTTCTCCTAACATTGGCATGTTAAAATTGAAAGCTCGTTTTCCACCTGCAGCTAAAGAGCTTAGAAGCACAGAAAAAACGTCAGAAGAAAGAAAATAAAGATAGTCAGAAGAATTGAAAAATACAAAGCATTAAAATTTCAAAATAAAATCTAAATTGGTTGGACTCTTTTTAATTACTAAGCCAAATATGAGCCCGATCTTACGTGGATTAAGTTTTACCAAAAACACAAGCCACAAGTGGTACAAAGCCGTCAAAATCAGTCGAAAGAATACATGTTCTGGACAACTGTCGGCTTCCTCAACTGATGAAAAAACAATATAAAAAAATGAAGATTATGGTGCTTGAAAACCTTCAGGCAAATATTAGAGAGCTCGATAAAGCTGAACTTTTGTCAAAAAGAGTTCCGTAAAAGAGTTTCTTTAGACATGCATCTTTGCACGTGCGAATTTCGATCCCTCATTTATTATAACTGCCGATGAGACATAAGTTTATGAGTGTGACATGCAAACGAATCAAAAAACATCGGGATGGAGGGAACACAACGAATCACAAAAAAAAAAAAACAAAAAAAAAATGGAGCCACTATTGTGACCGAATTTAAAGCTAAACATGCAATAAATACTATCGATCAATCATCGTTTATACCAGATTTCGTTCCATGTTAATTTTTTTTTTTTTTTTTTTTTTTTTTTTTTTTTTTTTTTTTTTTTTTTTTTTTTTTTTTTTTTTTTTTTTTTTTTTTTTGTTTTTGTTCCCCAAACTGAACCGAACTGCAACTGCGGGGAACTGAAGGCCAATTCAATAAGTATTTATGAAAAGTATTTCAAGGACTGGAAAATCGTTGGCAAAAGTGTATTACATCTGGTGATAATTACTTTAAAGGCGACAAAGTAAATATTGATGAATAATTAAATATTTTGCGTTTTATTTACAATTCCGAGTACTTTTTTGTCACAATATATGTTAAAAGCGGATAGATGGGCATCGCTTAATCTTCTCAGCTCACCATGCTAATATTTTTTTCTTTTATTTCTAAACTAATATTATTAGCGGTTGACCACACATTGACGGAAAATAACTCTGGCTCATCATTCAGCTGGAAAACGAACCCCCTTACACTGGGTTAGTGCTTTTAACTAGATAACACGGGAAATTTGTTTTATATATGTAATTTTATTTTATAACATAATCCAAAGTATTATTCTAATCCACAGAGGATATAATTAACTTTTTCCCAAGGCAAATACGATAAAATCTATAAACTATCAGAGATCGTCGATATCATTACATAATATCCATTGTCGTACAATAACTGCAAACATATCAAAATATCTTACTGCATTGCTAGCCCTCGAAATATTCGGCAAAATCACAAGTGCAACAGCATTGGGTCTCATGGATTCAATATCTTGTTTTATGCACCTCACAACTGTAAGCATTATCTTACTAATTCATCTTAAACATTTTATCGTAAAACCAATATCGGTATTCAATTACGCAACATATGTATGTGATCACGTGTACACGGCACTAACCGCAAAATATCACCCTCGAGTCAAATTAGTAGCCTTACATTAGCGCTTACCGTTATTACAGGACTCATCCAAATATGAGCCTAATTATGGTTAAAGTAGCTATTTCACATTGTCTAGCCTCAAGAGAGCGGAACGTCACATCTCACCACGACAATGCCTGCGGCTGGCGAACCACAAGCAAGCGTGTGCTACCGAAAATGAAAATTGAGGGGTGACATGGTGGCGCGCACGTATGACTGCTCCGTGTATTGTAAAATGATGCGTTAGTGGATTTTTAAATGATGCGGAAATCAAAAAGAAGTTAAGTAATTTGACACTTGAGCCAATAGGCAAAGAAACTTATTTGTATGTCTGATATAATGAACTATAATACATATATGTACATATTTTATATGCTATGTTGAACTGTGCAGTGCTATGCTATGTTTTGATATTTTATGTTGTGTTACTCTTTGGTATGCTATGATGGGCTTTTCTTTCAATGATGTGATCTGTTGTGCTTTGATGTATTATGCTAAGCGAGACTTTTTTTTATTAATCTATGTTTTGTTGTGCTATATTTTGACGTTCTATGTTTTACTATGATATGTTCTGCGGTGCTGTTTATCTTTTGCTTTGCTAAGCATGGCTATGTTTTATTAATCTATGTGTTTCTGTGCTATGTTATACCATTCTATGTTTTACTAATGATAAGTCCTGTTGTACTGTGACATCTTTTACTATGCAAGCGGAACTATGTTTTATTAGTCTATGTTTTGTTGTGCTATGTTATGCCGTTCTATGTTCTACGATTCCATG